ATCTGTAGACAATTGGACATCCTCTCACAGAAGGGTCACATTGAAGAGATGAGCCAGTCAGAGTGCAGTATAGCACCAATGGAACACACAAATTTCCTCTTGTTCTTTAATGTTTCCTGCCCCCCCTCCCCCCGCCCCACTATCATGACCTCAACTCTACCTTACCAATCAGATTAGACCAGAACATGCACACTGCTACAGACAACACAAGGAATCCAGGATAGATAGACCCCTCAAATCCAACAATGAGAATAGAAATACCAGGAAGATAAGGGGAAGGTGAGAGGAGAAAGGGAGAACTGATCACAATGAGCAACATATAACCCCCTCCCAGGGCGATGAATAATGGAAAAGTGGATGAAGGGCGACAGAGGACGATGTACGATATGAAAATAATAATCTATAACTAATCAAGGGTTCATGAGGGAGGGGGAGGGAGAAAAATGAGGAGCTGATATCAAGGGCTCAAATAGAAAGAAAATGCTTTGAAAATGATGATGGCAGCATATGTACAAAAGTGCTTGACACAATGGATGAATGTATGGATTGTGAAGGGAGATGTAGGAGCCCCAATAAAAGTATTTAATTAAAAAAATCACTTAAAGTTCTGACACTTAGGCTCAAAAAAAGAAAAAGAAATGCTTCAAGTCCTCTTTGCCTTCAGCAAGCAAGATTGTGTCATCTGTGAGTTGTCAATGAATCATCCTCCAATTCTGATGCCATATTCTGTTTCATAGAGTCCAGTTTCTCCAACTGTTTCTAGTGTGTGTCTGTCTAATTTGGAAACATTGCTGAATCCTGTCCAACACAGGAGACCCTGCCAGAATTTTAAATAACAGTGGTATAGCTTCGAGAATCACAGCAACACACAAGTCACCACAACACAAAAAATTAACAGACAAGTGATGTGATAGGTTTCATGAGATGATCTAACATAGTGTAGTCAACTCCATGATAGGATCGTGTTCAAAGTAGCCACGCAGTTGTGGGGAGAATAGACTTCCTTGATCTAGCCACAGCCTTAATATTGGGAGTTCTACCCTGTCCTATAGGGTTGCCAGGAGTCAGCATTGACTTGAAGCCAGTGAGTTTGGTTTTTGTTTGTTTTTCAATTAATATTGAAAATTATAATAAGGAATGTATTCAGCTCTACCAAATCAATCAACTGCTCCAACTAGAAAAGATATATAATATTTTTTATAATGAAAAAATTAGAGTAACACTAACTCACTGAAAATGGCTTACTAATAAGGTCACTGTAACTCATGGTAGGTATAAAAAGAAACTTTCCATAGAACTTGAACTTGATCATGTTAAGTATAACTGTCACATCCTTTCTCAAGTCTTCTCCTTCCTTTAGAATTGATGTTACCATTTTCTTCAAATTGGTCCCTAACCTGTTTGATTCCTTTATCTCTGTCTATTTAATTGACTCATTTGGGAGGTTCTATCATCATTCTTCTCCATTTCCACTCTCCACATTTGTGATAAAATGAGTTCCTTTATGTGATCTTTTGCCTTGGTTCTTTGGCTCATTTTTGGAAAAACAGCTTGAGATATTTCTCCTCCTTTTGTCTGGGTTAATTGATATTCTTAGGTAAATTATAAACATTTTGATTTGATATTTTTTGTCTGGCCTTGAGCTGTACTCTGCCCTATTCACCTTGCAGGGATTGATCAATATGCAATGCAAATAAAGTGATTAGAACTTACTAAACGGACCTGGTGGTGTAGTGGACTAGGACTTGAGCTGTTAACCACAAGGTCAATAGTGCTAAACCACAGGGAAAAGGTGAGGCTTTCTACTCCTGTAAAGACTTACAGTCTCAGCAACCCATAGAGGCAGTTCTACTCTGTCCTATAGGGTTGTTCACTATGAGGCAGAATCCACTTAATGGCAATGAGTGTTATCCTACTATGTAAATGAAGTATTTATGGCCTACCCAAAGGGGACTGGTCTGGTCACAACTAGGATGGAGGTGCATGATTTGAAATTGACCTGGAGTTTGTTTATATATCTATTCCCCACTTACTGATTGTGATAGACAGTTTTTTTTGTACCAACATTGCACCCATAAGAAGATATGGGTGGGGTCTAGTCTGTCAATCAGGTCACAGCCAGATGATACCTCTTGGTGGGCATGGCCTTCTCATAAGGAGGAATTGAGGAACTTCCTCTCTCTTTCTGCCTTCACCTTCCTTCTAGCAAGTCACCGGGAGAGCTGCCAGAGCCACCACCATTGGATCTAAAGGACTTAGCACCCACTGGCAGTGATCTTCCTGCCTTCTGCATCATTGCATGTGGCTTCATGAGTCTGAAGAGGGATTTGTGGAC